GCAATGCTTCTCCAATCATCTATGTCGGCGCGCTCCCATTCCTCAGATTTCTGTCATTAATAACTCGATAATTAACATGCAATCTTTTGCCAAATGTTCATGGTGCCGCAAGATATATTGCTTTGCATGCTACTACGATAAATACTATCGAAAGGTTTGTACCCGCAAGATCGCATAAAAAAAAGAAAAAAAAGCACTATAAAATTATTCGTCCATATGATCATATATAAAGAAAGAGGTCTGTCGTATATTTTGATCAAGTACAACAGGGGTGGTGGTGGGCCCTCTTTTTAAAACAATAAATTTATTCTATGAATGACCAAAAAAGATAACCCGTTCTATACATCGAATGTAAGAATTATGAAAAACAAAAAAAAATCAAGTACCATCGGGAGTCGAACATGGATGTCTCGCGCGTGACTCAGGCGCGTTGCCACTCGGTCAACTTACACTTGCGCTAACGTTCGCTACAAATGCCTCAATGCTGATCACATGCTTGGGCACAAATAAAAATGAAATTTTCTCTAAATATACTGTCTGGAAACGTCCAAAACCGGGTGTTTTGAAAATTGCTCATCGAATCCTACAATTTGGTGTAGGTTTCATGCAAAAATGGCAATCCTTTTTCTGGCCTTCCCTTTGTTAGACAAAAGTGCAGGGAATAAAAAGGTATTCAAGGGTGACCTTGACCTCTGACCTTGAAATGGTCTCTATAGGTAAAATATTTGACCTTGAAGATTACCCTTTATTTGATCTTGAAAGTTACTTCAAGGTCAAAGGTCAAGGTCACCATTGAATACTTTTTTTATTCCCTGAAACTTTTGTCGAAGAAGTTTCTTACGACAACCAATATTTCCAGATTTATCAGGCCGTACCGTAACTTATAAAAGTATAAGGTTCAATGACCTTGAAATGACCTCTAGAGGTCAAAGATCAACATGACCACGGACATATCTGGACATAATATTTTATGCTCTTCCGATTTTCGCCATCAAAAATACATGCTTCTATTTAAAAAAACAGGGTTGACCTTCATTTGACCTTGAAGGTTATCTTAAGATCAAAAGTCACCATTCAAAGGTTACCTCAAGATCAAGGTCACCATTCAATACCTTATTTTATTCCCTGCAACTTTTGTCGAAGAAGTTTTTTACGATAACTAATATTTCAAGAGTTACCCGGCCGTATCGAAACTTTTTGAATACTCTGTATGGTTAGATTCGGCATAAAAATGTTCTTTTGTTTGATAGAAACATAATTCTTAGATTATAAAAAAATTGGCAAATGATGGGGATATGTTTAAAATTTTAACATTTTTTTTTAAATTGGAAACGTCGTTATATAGTACACTTTCAAATCATTACATTTTTACTAGGAAGATTTTTCTATTTCTTGTACTTTTGATGATGCATATTCCGAAAGAAAAACACCGATTTTTTTCGAAGTGGTGTTTGATACCTTGAAAAACCGATTAGGCACATATAAAAAAATTCATACTTGGTACTATGGTTACCAGATTATCACATATTTCACGTTTATCAAAGACGTTGAAGGTTTTCATGTGTTTTCTTCTTACAAGGAGATGACGCAACCATTCCTTCGCAATCGTCGATTTCGTTTCATCGATTTCAACACGAGTCATAGCACACTCGATAGCTATGATGCCTTGTATAAACGCCCTAACATAATATGCGTGAATGCGTCTTTGTTTACGAGTAATTTGCAGTTAAAGTTTGGCTCGCGGAGCAATGCCACACATAGGGCGCAAGTTACGACACTCTTTCACGAAGCGGCGTGGCTGAGCAGACAGAGGCTCCTGCGCCGCGAACACTTTTGCCCCGACGACGACGTTCGAGTCTCGCCGACGACTGGTTCGTTTCTTTTTTCGTATGTAAAGACATATAATAAATATTTTTATATTGTGCTTATGTATAATTCCTTTTTTTGTTTCTACGCTATTAATCAAGGCTAATTAGGAGAGTCAGGTCTTTCAAATATGAACACAACTTTTTTATTAATTACAATAAAATGTTTTTTTCGTGTAAATCTATTTCGCATAAATATTTCGTATGGTATGGGAAAGAAATGGCCAGACAGTGATTATTTTGTGTGAGAGAAACCCGAGAGCCGTTAGAACCGTTACAAGTGGAAAGGAACCCTCTTCCCTCTCTCCTTCTCGCAGAGGGATTCTCATGTTTTGTGACGTGGGCATTCTCTGGGCAGTCTTCGTAACGTGAACAGTGAAAAACTCGTGTTAAAAATGGAAACCACGTTTGTAGATGAAGCAACGATCAGCTATGTGCAAAATCTAGCAAAATATGATATTACGAAAGAAGAGTTGACGGACGCAATAGAATATCTTCGAGGTAAATATATTGAATGTGTGAGCAATGGAAAGATATATTTGTACGTATTGTTATTGGCCTTGTATACAATATCAATTATATTGAATTCATATTTGCAGATGTCCTGATACAATTTAATTTAATTAATAATGAAGCGCCAAAGAAAATTATCAAAAAATTGCAAATTAATTGGCGGAAAATTGTTTGAAAAATTAATTAAACTGTTGGGAAAACATAAAATGTCAGATGAAATGGAATATTATATAGCAGAAGGAGAAGACGTGATTGAAGAAGACGCGATGGAAGATGTTCAATCGTCTTCTTCGGACGAGTCTCATACGAGTCAAAGAACGGAAGAGTCTTCTCCGGACAAGCCTCATACGAGAACGGAAGACTACGAACCTCCGCAAAAGTTGCAGCGATCGATCTAGTGCCGTATGACGTAAAATTGAAAACAGTTATGACCGCAAACAAACATCCGAATTGGAGCTTCCGTACGTTACAAAGCAAGTTTAAACAGCCTTTGCATTATCATAGTGAAGTTGCACGCTTCCGCAAATACATTTTATCTGGTGGAAATTATTGGGATAAGCTGCAATTAATAAAACGGAATGTGTATGATCGGTTTACGGAAGCAAGAGAGCAAAGGCAACTTGTTACACGACGTCTCCTTCAACAGTGGGCGATGGCTGCAGCCGTTCAATATAACAAACAAGGAGAAAAAGCGAAGAACATGACAAAGCTTTCCGCTTTGTAGCATCGAACACATGGTTAACGTCATTTCTACGTGAATATAAAATTTCTAACCGTCGAGTTGTTCGGTATTTATCAAAAAGAGAAATAATATCACCGCAAGCTGTGATGGAATTCGCTGTACACTTTCAAGAATTAATTAGAAGTATATCACTGGATTACGACCCGGATTTCATAATAAATTCTGACCAAACGGGCTGCGAATATCGCGTAAATGTTGCATGAACGTACACGTATACTGGCGAAAAATTCGTACAATTATATATCGGCGATCTAAACAAAGTGACTCACTCTTATACTGCACAATATTCTGTCACACAATCGGGCAAGCTATTAAATAAAGTGTTCGTTTGCTTACAAGAGACTTCCGACACATTTGGAGTCCGGGTACAGAAAGAGGTAGATGCGTTATTGCTATTATGTAAAAATGTTGTTCCAGTCTGCTCCAAATCAGGGAAATTAACAACATCTCTCCAGCAACGTCTACCAGCAATATTTGAAACTGGTTCTCAAGCCGTACGTTGGTAATCATCAGTTTTTATTTCTTGTTGATTCTTGGGGAGGACAAAAGAATATCCATATGTATAACGAAATATTTCGCGATAATAACAATAGGCCAACGTGTAACCTACAAATAATACCACCAAAATGTACGCCAATTTGTCAACCGTGCGATGTTTATTTCTATAGACAGGTCAAAATCATTATAAAGCGTATACAGAACTGTCCTTCTTTATATACCGGCGATGAAAGTATAAATTTGAACACTCGCGCTGATGCGATTCGTATACAATCGCTCACACACTATCTGTTATCAGCACCAGTTTTCGATTTTATGCTCCAATATGCGTGATATGCATCCAGTCTTGTTGACAGTCGCGAGGTATTTTACAACGTCAATCAAATATGTTTTCCACCAACTATACATAGTCAAAAGTGTATTTGTGCAAAAAATTATGCGTTCATTACGTATAGTTGGTGCAAAAAGCTATTATGTTTTACATGCTTTTATACGGCATTCCATCCGTAGAGTTGCGACTGCATGACCACATTTTATAATATGTAACTTTCATTTGTGTGCCTTATATTTGTCTTATGTGTGTGTGTGTGTGTGTGTGTATGTGTTTTGATACGGACAAAAAACATTTTATTGTAATTAATAAAAAAGTTGTGTTCATATTTGAAAGACCTGACTCTCCTAATTAGCCTTGATTAATAGCGTAGAAACAAAAAAAGGAATTATACATAAGAACAATATAAAAAGATTTATTACATGTCTTTACATACGAAAAACAAAAAACGAACCAGTCGTCGGCGAGACTCGAACGCCGTCGTCGGGGCAAAAGTGTTCGCGGCGCGGGAGCCTCTGTCTGCTCAGCCACGCCGCTTCGTGAAAGAGTGTCGTAACTTGCGCCCTATGTGTGGCACGGCTCCGCGAGCCAAACTTTAACTGCAAATTACTCGTAAACAAAGACGCATTCACGCATATTATGTTAGGGCGTTTATACACGGCATCATAGCTATCGAGTGTGCTATGACTCGTGTTGAAATCGATGAAACAGGTTGCGTCATCTCCTTATTAGTTAATTTATCAATCATTAATTTTTAATTTATGTTAATTAAAAAAAAAATTAACTTACCCAACCCTGTTGAATTAGATCTGTTATGACATCATCATATAAGTCTAATTCAATGAACTTATGAGTGTTTAAATTTATATAAAATAGAAAATAAAATAACAGAATGCGAACATTCAATAGCTCTTATATGTCTATTAATATGTTTTATTAACAAATATTTTTTTAATTGTATAAATGCTAATTATGAACTTGAAAAGTAATCTTCATCAGAGTGTACAAATCTACAAGATAGAGATTAATGTTTTGCTATTTAGATACTTACATCTCAGAAATATCTTCTCGTGAAGAAGGATGTTCTATGCTATCAGCATGATCGCTAGTTCCTCCTAAACCAGAAATTCGTGCTCTCTCGTAAGTAATACGAACATTGCCAGTTAAACTGCTTGCACGTTGTTCACCTAGAATTATAAATTATAATCATTGATTATAAGTGGAATTAAAATCGTCACTCATAAAGAATAATTTTATACAGGGTGACCCATTTCAATGTCCCATCCCAAATAACTCTTCACTACTGAAGTTTCAAGGAAAATAAACTAAATGAAAGTTGTAGGGATTTAAGTGAGCTATCTTAGAATAACCTTGACTTTGAACCTGATCTCTATTTCCAAGATCATTTGAAAGTCAACTTGCGTTTTTTAAATGGGAACCCTTATTTATTACACTGCTTTTTTCTGCTAGTTAATTTAAATAACTTTTGTCTAAAACATTTTTTTATTTGCGTAATATTTTTTGAGATATTTGAGGAAAACTTGATAACTTTTTCAATATTTAACTTACGATATCTCACTAATTATTTGTCGGAAGAAAAAGTGATTCTAAACTTTCTTGCTTTATTTAGTCTCAAGAATATATTGTTACAATAGCGCCTTGACTTTTGTTAACTTACTAATTTTTGGAAATTTCAAAATCATCAAATTAACAAAAATCAGGACGCTATTGTAACAATATATTCTTGAGACTAAATAAAGCAAAACGTAAAAAAACGTAAAAAAAATGTAAAACTAAATATCGTGGCAAAAACTGAACTACATCGACGAATTGAATTGATAAAAAAATTTATTCCATATAAATTTCATAGAAAAATTCGTAGTACAAACTGTTTTGATAAATATAAAGCATCAGAATATAGATTTTTTTTGTTATATTGTGGTCCAGTTGTTCTAAAAAATATTTTAGATGACTTTAAATATAATTATTTTCTATTATTACATGTCACATATCATTTGTTACATGCAGAAGTAAATAATATATTTATTGAATATGCAAGAGAATATTTGAATACTTTTGTTTCTGTTGCCAAAGACCTGTATGGAAAACAATTTGTTACAATAAATGTCCATAATTTGTGTCATATTGTTGATGATGTTGAAAATATGAATTGCTCCATAAGTTTTATAAATGCATATAATTTTGAATCTCATCTTGGACAAATTAAGAATATGTTAGGTTCTCCTTATCGAACATTATCACAATTTTGTCGACGAGAATATGAGAAGATATTACATACACAAAAAGTTGTCACTTTGCCTGATGAACAAGAAGAAATCATATCTAAAAGATCTGATCAAGATATTCTTGAAGTAAAACATAAACAATATTTATTGACATCAAAATCCTCGAATAATATGGTACTCTTGAATAATGGGACTGTTATGGAAATAAGGCAAATTTCATCCAGCATTTCCACCAGCTATGTCTCGAATAGCTGAAACAATTTGTTCGCAAAGCATGACTGTGTATATTTGTATTATCAAATTGCCTTCAATGAAAAAAGGGCCAACTGGTCTACCATTAAGAATACCAGCCCATACGTTAACTTTTTGTGGATATTGGGTATGATTGTCTCTTTTCCAGTGAGGATTAACGTCACTCCAGTATCTACAATTGTGTCTATTTACATTTCCAGTCAGTTCAAATGTTGCCTCATCAGAGAAAACAATATTATTAAGTAATAGAGGATCGTCGACAATCATCTCCATCATAAGATCACAAAATTCGATGCGTCTATCAAAATTGTCTTCGGACAACTCTTGGACCAAATGGGGTTTGTATGGATGCCAGTTATTCAATTTCAGAATTTTACTGACAGATGCATGACCGATTTCGTGTTCTTGTGCAACGCGATTGATGGAAATGTGGGGACTTTCAACGAAAGACTGTAAAACATCTATAATGCCTTATCATTATTTGTTGCTGTTTTACGTCTACCAGATCTTGGGTAGCTTTTAACGCTACCAATGTCCTCGAAACATTGAATAGTACGGATTACAGTACTTTTGGAGATCCTATTATTTTCATTCCGAAAATTTTCATTAAATAATCGCGTTACTGTTTTATACCCTCTTTGTTGATCTCCCCATCCTCGCATCATTAACAGTGTTATTCGATCTCTTTCAGGAAGCTCCGCCATTCTTAATTAGAGCAAAGAAGAATTAATCAAGTAAGTGATAGGAAATTGATCTAAATAATTATGTAGAGAAAAATACTAATTATTAAGTGTTGGTCCAACTTTCGATTTGTTTATTTCAACCAGCACTAGCAAAAAGCTCGTTGAGCAACTGAAAATCTAATAGATCAATTAATAATATTTACGAAAAAATTCTGGGCTATTGGAAACAAAATGAAGATGTTTGGGACAATCAATTGAAGCGCAATGGCTTCTTTTGTTACAGAAATAATTTTTGGGGCTGTTCGTTTTCGTCCACGAGGTGACTGCTGCTCGCTAAGAAGAAGATAGCACTGCATCAAAGATTCAAATCAGTGATCCGCATTGTTTGCTCAAGAGCTTACTATTGGTATTACTATTGGTGCCTGCGAGAGTGAGACAATAAAGATCGGCCCCGTCAACGCTTTCGGGCAGATTCCCGTTAACGCCTTCGGACATCACGCATTCGAGCAGCTTCTCACGATCACCTTCGGGCAGTTTTCCGCTACAGCCTACTAGCATAACCGCTTGAAGCTGTATAACTTTGCTATTGGACATTTTTCCAAAATGCATTCTTACTGAAAATATTAGGGAGAGCCGATACTTTTGGATTAATGTATTTTCTTTAAACCAATTAATTGGTTTCATTATTTCGCGCATAAAAGTATTAAGGTTATGATTACTGAAAACTAAATAATATTTTACAAGATATTTTACATTTTGTGTCAAAAAATTGTTAATTTCAAACCTTTATAACTCAAAAAATACTTAATGAAAAAATGTTTTATTATAGTGTTTTGGAAAGCTCTCGAGATAAGCTATAAGAATATGCAATAAAATGTTGGGGGTTCTATTTAAAAAAATAAGGTTGACCTTGAAATGACCTTGAAGGACATGGTCGTCATCATCTTACTCCCCGCTTGAAACCATACAACTTTGCTATTGGACATTTTCTCCAAAATGCATTCTAACTGAAGATATTAAGGGGGTCCGATACTTTTCAATGACCCTGTATTATTCCAAAAATTTTGTAATATTTAGAATGATTATATGTTTTAATTGTTTCTAGAATAGTATGCTCAGGATTTGTTTAGATAAAAATCAAGTTATTACTAAATCTTTAGTGAATATGTTAAAAAAATTTATCACATCAGAAATTGCAATGCGATTCACAAGTTGCAAAAAAGTTAGTAATAAGTTTATTATGTGCAATATGACTTTTTTTAATTGTATGAAAGGTAACGTTTTGAATATTTTGTTCTTTATATATTATAAAGTATATCTCATTCAATTTATATTAATTTGTTTATATCGACTATCCTTTTCACGTTACAGTGATACTACTTGACACAAGTATAGCAAATAAATCTATATCTGAGAAAGAGATCTTAAGTTCCTTAGGAAAAGTATTATCAAATGCTCGAGACTGGGATAGTGGAAGAAAATTTAAAAATATCACTACTGCAAGGTCACCTACTCCTTGTCAGGATTTAAATAGTACCCCTGAAAATATACCTGAAAGTAATGCCACTATGACAAAGACATTGTTCTTTATTAATGAAAATAACCAACTAGAATTTGTTCAGTCCTTAAAAGAAAATTGTGATGACTTGAATGATTCAAAAGAATCATAAATACTCATTTTCCTGCTTGTATTATTTTGTCATATATTGCCTTATATTTTATTATATCTTTATATTCATATAAAAAAGTAGAGTTTTGAGTTAGATTTGTCTCTATACTTCACTCTATACACACAGATTTTATGATAAAAATTATTGTACAATTTTGTAACTGAAAAATAAATCGACATTCTACAGTAATTCAGTTTCTACAATAGTATCCTTTCATTTTATGTGTACTACTTTTATTGTGAATTTATTGTGAAAACTGAAATGTGTTAAAATTTATTTTCAGCGAAATTAACTATGTTCTCTAGCAAGATATATCTTATTGATAATCTATTTCTATATTATTAGAAACACTAAATAAAATAAAATGTTTTAAAGAAATATTGAAAGATTTTTGTGACACATATGCGCACATATGTATGTATATACAGGGTGTTTGATAGCTGATCATGCAGACGAAAGTTGGAGATAGATTGGGTGTAGCCGAGAAGAAAAGTCATGTACCATAATGTCAAATTGGCAATAGTTACCGAGTTATTAATTAAAACATGTGAGCCAACGAGCACGTAGAGAGCGGAGGGCGGCCGCAGTAAGCACGTAGACATTTGATACAGGCGGAGTCAGCGAGTGACGGTAGGCAAGCGCGCGCGGCGAGGGGCAACTTAAGCGACAAGAAGCGATCGCGCGCGACGAGGAGCGAGCGAGCGAACTTTTTCTTTATAGCTTTTTCCTTATAGCTCGCTCGCTCGCTCTTCGTCGCGCTCGCTCGCCTCTTGTCACTTGCGCTCGCTCGCTCCTCGTCGCGCGCGCTCGCCTCTTGTCATTTACGTTGCCCCTCGCCGCGCGCGCTCACCTACCGTCACTCGCTGACTCCGCCTGTATCAAATGTCTACGTGCTTACTGTGGTCGCCCTCCGCTCTCTACGCGCTCGTTGGCTCACATGTTTTAATTAATAACTCGATAACTATTGCCAATTTGACATTATGGTATATGACTTTTCTTCTCGACTACACCCAATCTATCTCCAACTTTCGTCTGCATGATCAGCTATCAAACACCCTGTATATACATTGCCCAAAAGAATTATGGCATAGATAATTTACTGCCGAAAATTGACCAAATTTGACTGGCGATTATTTCGCGAAAAATTATTGTAGACTAATGATTTTTTTTCAAAATGAAGCTTGAAGTTTTTACTTCAAGAATGTATCTCCTTTTTTTGCATGTGATGCATCCCTACTCCTGTAACCCCTGACATCTGAGAGCATGTTTGGTATACTGAAAATTGCAAAGTTTGACGGAATGCACGAACGTGGACAATTTTTTTTCAAGGATGCCG